ACCCCAACCACCCCTTCTTCTGCATTGCCAGTCCCCTCTTCCTGCTGGCGCCGTCCCACCCCTTCCCGACCGGCGACCATACCCAACACCCCCTTGCCCCCTCAGACCCCCATCCTCCTCATTTCCTCACCCCTGACAGTTTTCGGCTTCCCTGTCTCCTTTTCACTACATCCCAGATTATTACTGCCCCGGTGCCCCCATCTTCCTCTTTTTCCCTTCTCCTTTTCGGTAGTTTAGGGTTTCGAGGGTGGGGCGGTGGTTTCGTGGTGGTAGAGAATGAGGGTGTTGGTTTTGAGGCGGTTTCGAGTGGTGGGTGCGAATATGTGTTTTGTTTCGAGTACGGGGGTCGGAGGGAGGGTGGTTTCAAGGGTGGTGTTAGGGAGGAGGGTTGTTTCCGGTGTGGTTGGGTTGGGGCGGGGTGGTTTTCGAGGAGTTGGTGGTGGAGGTGGAGGAGAGGGGTTCACGAGAAGAGGTTTTTTTTTTTTAAAAAAAAATTTCAGTTTTTTTAGAATTAAAATCATTATTATTAAAAAAAATGTTAAAATTAAAAAAAATTCTTAACAAATTACAACGCGACACATGTTAACTATAACCTGTAAAACAGATTAACGATTTTTTTGTTCCATTTATGAAAGATTTGTGTCAAATGTCATGTTATTTTGAGATAATCCAAAGGTTGTTCTATTTTTTAAAAGACCTCTGAAAGGTCGTATTATTCTTGACAAATTTTCCAATATTTTTGGATTAGTTTTTATATATGCTTTTATTATAATAACCTTTTATACTTCTTAGTAATATATAATTACAATTATTAATGGTCAGAGTTGTGCATTGACATGTGTGCTAGTTAAAGCGTTGCTATTATTATGAAACGGAGAGAGTATTAAGAGGCCGTTTGGTTGGGGTTAATAATCAAAAGGAAAGGGAACGAACAAACTTCATTCCCTTTGTTGTTGTTTGTTTGTCACTTTTTGTCATTCCTTTTACCTATTTATATTTTTGAGTTTACCTAAATCTATTCTACATTGATTCCCTACCCCCAGACTTTTCTGTTTCCTTTCTTTAGCCACCACTATACCATCACCCTCTTACCTACCCAGACTACCGGAAAACCCAGCCACCGCACCGCCGCTCTTTCCCAACCCTTCGCCGCATCTCCACTGCCCCTCACCACGCCTGTAAAGCTCTCCCTCCGCTATGGTTTCGAGGGTGGGGGAAGGTGCGGCCGGCGGTTTTACGAGGAGAGGGAGGATTTTTTAGAGTTTCTCGGGGCTGGGGAGAAGTTTTTCGGGGGAGGGGAAGCTTTGTGGGCGGCGGCGAAGGGCAAGGGAGGTGCGGCGAGTGGTGATTTGGTTGGGTGGTAACTGGAAAAGGTAGGAAGTGAAGGAAATAGGTGGTTGTGAGGCGGTGGTGGAATTGGTGGCTTGTTTCCCTTTGGTTTTTCAAAACAAACAACATAGCAAATTCAAGGGTTTTTCATTCCATTTTCTTGATTTTCCTTTATTCATTCCATTCCGTTTATCCCGTGCAAACCAAATGGCCCCTAATAATGATCCATTTAGGATTTTAGGTGGAGTAACGCATGAAACAGACCCTGGGTCAAGGCCCACGACATGGAGAGAGATGACTAATAATACATAAATTAGCGAGATTCTGTTCTAAATTAATTTTTCTAAATGTAATTATTCGTATTTATTTTGGAAAAAATAATAAATAAATAAATAAAATGGTTGCAATACTAGATTATAAAAGTATTTATTAGATTATGCAAGTATTAGCTAGTTCGTTGTCACCTTCATTAAGATTTTCACGTGCTCATGCAAATCATATAGACGTATATATAATGAAGTATTAGGAACAAATTAAAGTACATTGAAGTAATAGAACGTATTATTAAGAACAAAGTGCATTAAAGTAATAGAACTAATCATTGTATACACTATAAGAATATGATGTCCTTTTTTAGTTGAAATAGTGATCAATTGCCTCTGAACGAATTAATTAGCATCATACAGAAGATAAGGAATTGAAGAAAAGAGATTAGTAGTAAACGTAATTAATTAAAGATTAGACATGCCACTAGACACATTAACGACTAATTACCATCCAGCTAATATATCTTCCATTGATTTCAATTGTTGCAATGATTATTATACAATCAACCACTCAATTGAAGATATGAAACTGTACATTATATTGCTAGCTCAACTTACTTTGCCTATTTCCTCTTTTCTTTTCCTTTTTGTTGATCTGCCCTTTTATTTTGTGGGGGGCTTTTTTATACTTGACTTTTTGGATGAAATTCCTTCTTTATGTGTTAAAATTTTTAAAATCTATTTTTTTAATTGAAAAGAGAATCAGATGGACAACTCAAATTACATTTTAGGTGACATACAAATGCTTTGGGACATTGAAAATAATACAATAATAAAAGTCCTATTTTTTGGACTTATTTATCGGAATTTCAGTTGATTAATTCCGCTCAAATTAATTTAGTTAAGCTTCATTATATAAAGATAGTAATATATACATTATATATAAGTGTTGTTGGATTTACTTCAATTTTTTAAAAAAATATTTTAAAAAAATTATATATACTTATTAGTGACGTTTGGTAATATATAATACCGACAACGAAACACTTTTTAAAATATTCTAAAAATGGTACAACTATTGGAATATGGTTGTCAGTAAAATTCTTTTTTACTTTGCCTATTTTTTAAATAAAATAAAATTTTACCAATCACCAATTCTAATATTTAAAAAATATATATATATACCAATCACCAATTCTAATTTTTTTATAAAAAAAAAAAAAAAGTTTAATCGATCGTAAATAACCCCTAACCTTTATTCTCCTCAACTCAATAGCCATAAGCCCATAACCCTTCGCACCTCTTTCTCTCTCTCTCTCTCTCTCTTACATCTTCTATCTTCGTTCCATGTCTCTCTCTCTTTGTTTCTAACAATCACAAAGGGTGGAAAAGAAGGGTTTCCTACAAAGTACAAACCTTACAAAAAAAAGATTGAACAAAATATTATGTTTTGATTTTTAAACTTTTTACAAATAATAGTAGGACAACAAATTAACATAAATTAATCTTAGATATTGATTAAACAATTATACATTTTTTTCAATTTTTGTTTGATTGAAATAGAAATTATTGCTATTTTAAAGTAGGGATCTTATGTTGTTTAATTGATTAAATTATTTTATACATTTTTTTTTCAATTTTTGTTTGATTGAAATAGAAATTATTACTATTTGAAAGTACTATTAAAAAAAGGAATCTTATGTTCTTTGATAACAAAGTAATAAGATACTTATTGAAAGTTATAATTAAAAAAAAATATTATTGAAATATCTATTTTGAATTTCATTTATATAGTATCATGTGTATCATAATAAAATATTTAGTTGTTGATTTGTTGTAATATGAAGTGCTACACTCAGCAAAAATTTAAAATGTCAAATGTCACTGTCTCGTGACCTGGTTAATTGTTAAACATTATATATTAGTTTTATGATATGATATAGTACTATATATAAAGGTATTGATGTTACATTCTTAATTTGGAAATCATGTTATGAATAAACTACTCACTCTAATTTATTTCTTTTTATTCTTTACCTATGGTAATACGAAGTATATGTTAGGTGATTTGAGGAATAATTGGTGTAGGAATATATAGTTTTTATCTTTAATTTTAAAATGAGAAATTCTATTTCTATGGATGGTTTAATTAAATGGCAGCCTTGGATACAACAATAATATAAAATGAATAATGAATATTAAAAACTTAATTTTGATGAATATTAATTAAATTAATGACGAGCGCAATTCTTATTTTTATTTTAAAGTAGAGATAAATTGAAGTATTATGTATTTTATAAGAAACAACGTAAAGAATAAGGGGATCACAAATTAAAAAAAAAAAACGTAAGTAATAGAAAAGAAATTAAATGGAGGGATTTCCTTTAACAAGGTAGCGGAAGCAAGAGAGAAATGAACCACTAATATAATAATGGACTAATTAATGACCATTATTATCTAAAAAAAACTAGCATGTTTAATTTTATGTTTTTATATATCAAATGATAATTTTTGAAGCTTATTATAGGATCTACATATATCCAATCGAGTGATCAGATGATTTTGTTAAATGAACTAAAATCTCGACGTATGTTTATATTTGAAAAGTATAACAAACTAGTATATGTTAGTTTCTTTGACTAGTTGCTAGTTATTTGCTCCTTGTATTAATTGATTGACTATCTATTTATAATTAGTTGTTTAGTTGTCAAAGTGTATGTTTAATAAGTAGTTGTTACTTATTAGTTGTTTTAGCATATAAAACAATCTAAAATCTTAATCTCTTTCAAAAACCTATTACAAACAACACGTTACTACAGTAATAAACATCCCTGATAGCTTTTTAAAATGATAAAACAACTTATTTTTTAAAAAAGCCCCTAACCTTTTTAAAAGTGAATTCTAATGCTCTTAAATATCATAAATCAAACCTACAACAACACTTTGCAACGCTTTAACATGTTCAATTTCTAAGCTTTTACTTAAGAACTACTAACTAATAAAAAATCGAGAACTATAATATCATTACAAGGAAGATTTAGGAGAAAATTAACAGGAAAGTCGAATTCGAGAGAAGAGTAGAGTTGGGAATACCAAAACAGCTTTCAGTGCTGCTGTCGACAAGGAACAACAATTTCAATGGGGATTATTCATCGCTCTAGACATTGTCGGGTTACTCATTGATGGAGTCAGCGGATTTAATGGCGTTAGAGGTTTGATGGTCGTAACTTTTCAATTTTTTTCTCTTTCCTCTCTCCTTCTCAAATTGAAGTAGTTTAGTCTACAAATTGCAAATATTACACAAATGCCCTCGTGTACCTTGTATGAGCTAAACTAAATGAGGCACATTAATGTTTAGTTGTTCGTGGAGGTTTTAGTTTTAATCTTACATAGTGGCATGGTGCAACACTTGGTGAAACGTTCTCGTGAGGTGTGACCCGGTTAATCCAAATTACTTGAAGATTTGTCGATCTAGTCTAGGGTATAAATGTAACACCGAACGCTCCACCAAAACTCTTCTTCTGCTGCTACCACTTCTGGGCTTTAGCCTTAGCGTTGCTTGTTTTGGAGACAGCATTACAAGAAGAACTCTCTAGAACATCGTCTCGCACAACAGAGAGAGGTTAAACCGATGTCGTACAACGAACGATACGAGGGTATCGGCGAAGAAAACGGCTCGCCGGCGCGGCAACATAGCGGTGGTCATGGAGGTGCCGCCGATAACCACCACGACTCCAAATCACTGGTACCTTCTTTTCATTTACATAATTGTATTCTCTCTTATTCGAATTAGGGTTTTTTAAATTGATCTTCAGAAATTCTTAGGGTTTAGTGGTTTTTGTTCTCAGTTTGTTTGATGATTAAATTAAGGTGAATTATAAGCGTTACTGAATGAATTAAAACCTTCAATTTGTATTGCCGACTTTTCCAGATTCTGGTAATTGTTTTTTATTAGGGTTTAGAGTTTTTACATTAATTCGAAATGTTAGTGAAATTTATGAGAAGGAATTATGTTTTAGTGGAGACTGGAATTAGAATTAAGGATTCATGGACATTGAATGGAGCAAAAGAGGATGCTTTCTTTGTAATCTCGGGGTTTTACGCGTCGATTGAGAATAGAATGAGTTGTTCAGCCTTAGCAGAGTGTGGATTGCTGAAAAGGTAATTTGGCAGTTGAGTTTGAAGCTATTTGGTAAAACAAATTGCTCCCATTTTTGGAATATATAATGTCATCATGCATACTAAATTATTTTGGAATATTTGGAAAAAAACTATCATATTTCCTATATGAATGGGCTATGTGGTTAGACTATCAAACATAACCTTAGTTAAATAGATGGAGAGGGGATGGCTATGAGACCATTATTATAGCTTTATTATAGGTATCTTAGTGGAATTAGGGATAATCCCTTATGGGGTTGGAATGGTGTGACAATTCTAGATGGAGGGAGTATCAGTTTGAATTTTCGATTAAACTGCCTCAAGGATATTCTGCAAATTACCAACATGATGTCATCTGATTAGTTCTTATAGTATGATTTTCTCAGCAAAGATGGGTTGGAATTCCATATGCCTTTTGTATGTAAGGAGGAATTTTAGATTCTTTGCATTTCAATACTAAGATGAATTTTGCAAGATATTTTGGTTAGTAGATGCTTCACTAGTAATAGTGTATTGAGCTAGAGTATTCTTTTGATTTTGGTATTTCTCATGGTATACTGAAATCCACCTATTTTTATCTGAAATGGATGGCTTTCATGGTCTAATATTGTAGAATTTTTAAGGGCTGTTTGTTGCTTTGAATTTTTGTAGACATTCTTGTACTTTATGTATGTAATTTTCTAACAATAACATTTTTGTAGCATGACTCACAAAGTCACGAGGAGTCTACAAGAAGCAGAGAAATGGAAAGGGATAAAGATAGAGACAAAGAAAGAAAGAGGGACAGGGACAGAGACAGAGATAGAGATAGAGACAGAGATAGAGACAAAGATAGAGACCGAGGAAAGAGTAGGGATAGAGACAAAGATAAAGATAAAGACCGAGAAAAGAGTAGGGACAGAGATAGGGACAGAGGAGAGCGTGATCGCCATAGGGATCAACACAGAGAAAGGAGCGAGAGAAGGGGGCGGAGCAGGGATGTGGTAGATGAAGATTATCGCCACAGTAGTCGAGATCGTGATAGGTAAAAGCTTTATACTGTTAAGCCTAAGTGTGTGAATCTGAATATCAAGTTACCGGTTTCCTTCAAATTTCATTAGTAATGTTTTTTCCCTGTTAATTTATCTCATATAATCTGGATGCAATCATATTTGTAGACGAAGAGATTATGACGATGACCGAGAGGATAGGCATGGAAGAAGTTCTCGATCTCGTTCTAGGGCCAGATCTCATCATAAATCAAGGTCACGCTCTCGTTCAAGGTCAAGATCACGTTCATGTTCTAAGAGGTAATATTTAGAGTTGTGGCGTTTATTGTGTTCTGTACTGTTGTGGGTTTCAAGCTGATGTGTGCTGATATTTGTTAGCCTGCATTTTGATTAGCTATTACCGGTAGCTAGGTGCCTAAGGTGTCAATATTATTATTATTTGTGTGTGCGTGCTCGCTTGTGTGTGTGTTGGTTGGAAGGGTAGCTGTATCAGGTTACCTCAATGTGAAGCCAATCATCTCTTTTTATACTATTGGATGATGTTTTGTGCATGTCCTCGTGTATCTTTTTGGCTTTTTCATTATTAAAGTCAGTTAAGAGTTTGCATCTCTTATGTTAAGTAATTGGTTACACTAACCATTGACAATATGAGTTTGTAGGGCAGGCACATATTCAAAGCTTTTCACTTTGATCCCTTTTGCTTTAAGGAAGATGCTATTGTTTGGTTTGTGAATTTGTTTTCTGACTATATATGATTATTCTCCGTACTTTGAAGTTTTGCAGTCAAGTTTACAATTCTCATATGATCATTAGATTCTCATTTTTTATATGGAAAGAACTAGAATTCTATACTCTTGAGAATGATTGCAATTCATGAATAGTACTCTGCTGGTGACAGTATGAGTAAGCTTTATATCTGAGATATACATATGGATTCTAATTGGCTTTTGATGGTTGTAAGGAGTAGTCATAGTCTTGTTTTAGGATATGTATGATGTCATAATATGGTTTTGCTTTTGTGACCTCTGATGTCTTGACGAAGTTCTTAATTCTAATGCTCTTTATTGTCTTCTGCTATTTCTTCTACATTGATATGGTTAGAAGCTCTGCTTTTATGTATACAAATGGTCCCTTTTTTTATTTTTATTTATTTTATAAATTTTATTTTATGCACTTATGGATTTAAGTGTGTATATGATCTTGTTTTTAGGTTTTAGTATGTTGTAAAAATCCTTGTGAGCGTATTTATTTTGGCTGGTTAACTTAGTATCTCTAGTAGCATGATATCCATTACTGCCTTGTTACTGATGGACATGATGGTACATATATTGTTTTTCCTGATGGTATATCGTGTCTTCCTATTGACTGTTACTGTGTGCTAGCAGTAAAAGGATCAGCGGATTTGACATGGCACCACCAGCTGCGTTGATGACTGCTCCTGCTGTTGGAGGTCTGACTATCTACCTTTACTTTGAACATAGATTTGTGTTTATAACTGTTGCTTCTTTTTTGTTTGCTTTAGTGTGGAAAAATCGTATCAAATTACATGCTTTCATTGGGTAAGCTTATTCATCCACTTTTTATTTGCTATATTGAGCCTGGTGGTATGTTTGCAGATGGGCAGTAGTGAGTTTTTCATTCTTCACTTTTTATATATTTAGTTAAATAACTCTGGAACTGAAAGATGTTTTTTGTTTGTTCTTGTCTTTTGGTATTTGTTTCTTGTTTGTGTCTTTTGTTTTGTTGTAAGAAGGTAATGTTGGGCTACTTGCCCCACTGTGCTGACATTGGGTGTGAGCCGACTTCTGTAGCTTTAATGTACAAGGAAGAACCAATGCTCAGGTTGGGTTTTGTTAATCTTTAACTGGCGCCTTATGCGTGTTTCTGTAGTCTTTATTATTAATTCCTGCAAATAGATCTGCCTTCTGCAATTTCTACTTTTGTCAAATTTCTATAGAAAAGATAGCGAACATGTAACTAGGGAAGTTTTATATTTGAAAGAATGTCAATATCAACTTATGACAAATCAAATCGAATGTGTTTTTCTTTTTCTTTTTCTTTTTAATTTTTATCTTAACAAGTTGAAAAGGATATGGGTCTTTTATTTTGACTACCAATGTATCTTATTTATGGTGCCTCTATAGAAATATGACAGTTTTGTACCCAATACAGGCCCAGTCACGACAGCTTCTGTTCCTGGGGTATTTCCCAACATGTTTCCTTTAACATCAGGGCCGGTATGTGTTTTATGTGACAAGTTATATTAATGTGTAGTTTATCTACCCTTTTCCCCTCATTTTTTCTCTTGTTTTGTAGATGCAGCTTGGAACTCTCCCTATCATGCCTGTACAAGCAATGACTCAGCAGGTGCGTTGTGAATCTTGTGATGTTTTTGATTTCTTTTCATTAGCTCATGCATCATCGTTCGATACATCTTAAATTTGATGATTGGATTGAAATACGCAGGCTACTAGGCATGCTCGGCGAGTTTATGTTGGAGGGTTACCTCCAGAAGCTAATGAACAGGTTTTCTATCTTCATTATTGTCATCTTGTTCATCCTTTATCCCCATGCTACTATAGTTTGATTATAATCTTGTCTTATTTTTGTTCTGCTGCAGTCTGTGGCTATCTTTTTCAGCCATGTTATGGCCTCAATTGGAGGAAATACTGCAGGCCCAGGTAGGAAATCAATGAACAATGAAAGTTACTAGTATTCTGTCTCGATAGTTAGATTTTTAATTTTGAATGATACTAATCATATTATAACTTGTGCATATTCAGGCGATGCTGTGGTTAATGTCTATATTAATCATGAAAAGAAGTTTGCTTTTGTGGAGATGAGATCTGTGGAGGAAGCTAGTAACGCTATGGCGCTAGATGGTATTATATTCGAGGTAATTTATCTGCCTTTCTTGATTTACTATTATTGTACTGGTTCTGGTATCCATGTGGGACTCATTGTGTCTCTTTTATCACAAGAAGTGGGGCTCTTTATGAATGTCAGTTTGTGTGAGTGTTGGGTAGGGGAGAGGTGTTGTATATTGATTGTACTACTCGCTCTTGAGTACATTTTATGTTCTTGCTATTGCAGGGTACTCCGGTTAAGGTCAGGAGACCCAGTGACTACAACCCATCACTTGCTGCAGCACTCGGTCCAAGTCAGCCTAATCCAAACCTAAACCTGGCTGCTGTTGGTTTGACTCCAGGTTCTGCAGGGGGTCTTGAGGGTCCTGACAGGATCTTTGTGGGTGGACTTCCCTATTATTTTACTGAGGCTCAAGTGCGAGAGTTGTTGGAATCCTTTGGAGCACTCCGAGGATTTGATCTTGTCAAGGATAGAGAAACTGGAAATTCAAAAGGCTATGCATTTTGTGTGTACCAAGATCTGTCTGTTACAGATATTGTTTGTCAAGCACTTAATGGAATCAAAATGGGGGATAAAACCCTCACTGTCAGGCGTGCAAACCAGGGTACTCAACAGCCAAAGCCAGAGCAAGAGAGTGTATACATGCACGCGCAGCAGCAGATTGCACTGCAGGTTATTTTTATGGTCCATGTTTTATTTATCCTATTAATTCTCTAGTAGCTGTATTTGCGGCTGGGTTTAATCCGCCTGGATCTTGTAAAGTGAATTTTCTTTTGATATGAATAAATTACTGCTAGTTTCACCCTTATGTTGGCAAACGGACAACAGTGTCATTTGAAAGGCCATCTTATCCCGTGGCAATACTTCCATGTTGGTTGGTGCCACAATCTTTTGTCTGCTCGAGTTTGAACAGCAGTCTATAGCAGGATTATTTTATCTGACTAGTCTCTTTTACCTTTTCAGAAAATGATACTGCAACCTGGTGGTCTTCCCACCAAGGTTGTGTGCTTAACAAACTGTGTGAATCTGGATGAGCTTAGAGATGATGAGGAGTTTGAAGATATCTTTGAAGACATGAGACAAGAGGGAGAAAGATTTGGTACTAGTCTCAAACTGCTTGGATTCTTTTTTATTTTCTTTTTCTCGTCATCCACATAGTGTTAAATTTGTCTATGGTGTACGGAGTATATTGCCATATTCTACTATGAAGACTAGTGGCTATTAATCTGAAAGGTTTCATATATCTCTGTATCATTGTGTATTTCCCCTCCATTTTTGCAGGTTCTTTACTAAGCGTTGTCATCCCCAGGCCGCATCCAAATGGAGAGCCATCACCTGGGCTTGGAAAGGTTAGTTTAGTGTAATGTCACATTGACATTATGAATGATTTATGTTTGTGTTTAATCATTGTACTGTTGTCCCTCCATTTCTGTACAAGTGTGGCCTTTTAAGGTTAGGCAAACAACTTTAATGTGTTAGTTAATGTTACAATAAATAAACTGACAAGTAACAATTATTATAGTGATATTTTAATCATTTTATGTGAGTAATAATATGTAACAAGAAGAGCAAGGACACAAAATATTACCTTGCTTCCTCTAACAAAGCTCCTTCCTTATTTGATATAAACTTTGCAATGGAACATCTGATATGGCCTATAATAATGTAATGCTAAAAACGACCTAAAGTGTCGTCTGTCACAATGAAAGAATGATTTCATGTTTACGCTACCGAGGGTGTGAGTTTCATTTGTTTGCTGATTTTTTTCTAATATATATTTATTTATTTCTTTTTCCCTAGGTGTTTCTGGAGTATGCAGATATAGAGAGTTCTTCAAAGGCAAGAGCTGGAATGAATGGAAGAAAGTTTGGTGGCAAAGAAGTCGTGGCTACATTTTACCCGGAAAACAAATATGCGGAGGCACAATATGATGGCTGAAGATATGATAAGATTGACATCCTTTTATTTTTGGTTTCTGTTCAATTTAGCGGATGAATCACATGTAGATTTTCATTAGGCTACTGAGATTGTAGATGTTCCTATTCTTACCTTTTTGTACTTAATGGGGTTTATTTTGTACCTGCTAAATAGGACTGCTGCTTTTTACAGCCAGATGCTAGTGTATTTGATGTTATCCTCTTTTACCTTTAAAATGTAGATGAATGATTTTGCTTGTTATGCGAAGATTCTATAGTTACTCGGTCTCTGGAAATCTACAGAAATGTGTATGTTAGCCTGTTAGAACATATCTGAACAGGAAATTGGTTTGGATTCGGAGTGAAATGATTCTACTGTTTGGTTTATTGTTTTATACTGGAATTGGTTTTTGAGTTTGCTGCTCAAATTTTCTGCCATGTTTGTAACACATCTTTGAAGATGGTACAATTGGTATTGCATTGTAGAAGGGAGTTTAGTATACTTGGTGGTAACGTGCCCTTTCTTCTACCCAAGCCATAGCCATTCATTGCTTTATCCACCAAAGCTTCTTCGATGACTAAGACCCTGTTATTTTGAGCTTCTGGGCAAGGCAGGTTAGAGCAGAGCAGATTTCAGAATTATTATCACATTATTTTATTATCATCATTATTATTATTATTATTATTATTATTTGATTTTTTCTAGATTTTTTTACTCTTTTTATAACATTAAAAAATGTGTTAAATAATATAAAGTATTAATTATTATCATTAAATATTAGTTATTATTAACAATAATATTATATATTAATTTTTATTATTATTATAAAATATTAATTATTATTATTAAATATTAATCATTATTATTAAATATTAATTATTATTATCTATAAATATAGTTATTACTATTAAATATTAATAACTAGATGGAAGCCCGTGCTATGCACAGTTTTTTCATCTAAGATTTTTAATTATTTGATTTATTGTATCTAATAATTTCGGAAAGAATTACAAAAGTTTAATATTATTTTTTTTACTATAATTTATAATGAATTTATTAAATATAAATAATTGTATATATGATATTTTTTCCGTTATATAGAATCTTTAATATGAAATGATAAATTTTTAATAATTTAAATCCTAAATCACTAGATGGAAGCCCGTGCGATGCACGGTTTTTTCATCTAAGATTTTTTAATTATTTGATTTATTTTATTTAATAATTTCAGACGAAATTACAAAAGTTTAATATTTATTTTTTTTACTATAATTTATAATGAATTTATTAAATATAAATAAATTGTAAATATGATATTTTTTCCGTTATATAAAATCTTTAATATGAAATGATAAATTTTTAATAATTTGAATCCTAAATCACTAGATGGAAGCCCGTGCGATGCACAGTTTTTTCATCTAAGATTTTTTAATTATTTGATTTATTTTATTTAATAATTTCAGACAAAATTACAAAAGTTTAATATTTATTTTTTTTACTATAATTTATAATGAATTTATTAAATATAAATAAATTGTAAATATGATATTTTTTCCGTTATATAAAATCCTTTAAAGTGAAATGATAAATTTTTAATAATTTAAATCCTAAATTATTATTCATTGTTTTACCATATCTTTTATTTCGATAGAGTCACCAAACTCGTCCACAACCAACCTACTACATCAATGGATAAATTGAACCGTGAAATGTTAGCCAAACTGAAATTGATGATATAAATTAAATCCTTACATTTATATAAATAAATCAATATATTTACCAATAAATAAAAAATTGTTGCGATATAAAATCAAATCTATGCATTGGAATTTTTTCATCATCTCCAAAAATAACCAAAGCCATCCATATATTAAGTATACAACATCTAATCGTATGTCATTACATAAACAAATAATCGTTAAGTATCCTAAATAAATACAATGTAACTAATAATTACAAATATAAATTTAAAGATAAGATTTTAAAAATTACCCGGACATTGATGACCTAAAACTAACACAAAAGTACTAACACAAAATTCGCTTGATTGGGTTTTCTATTGATACGAAATTTTATTTGTGTCATATGATGTGTTAGATCTGCACGTAAAATAACATTTAGTAAATAAAACATAAACATATAATCGTTGAATATCCCAAAGTAATACAATGTAAGTAATAATTAGAAATACTAATTTAAACATAGGATTTTAAAAATTAAGCTAAAAATTAAATTACTAACACAAAATTCGCTTGATGGAGTTTTTTATTGATACGAAATTTTATTTGTGTCGTATGATGTATCAATTTATAATGGTAGGTATCACAAATTTTAATTTAATTATAATAACAAACAATTTGTATTTCTTATCATAAATACTATCAAAATTTATCTTATAATGATAGGTATCAAACTTTATTATAAGCGTTTATCATTTAATTTTTTTTAGTATATTTTTTTTGGATTTCTTATACTCGTACTATTGAATTAATAAATTTATTTTTTCCTATATTTTTTTACTTTATATTTTTTCATTAAACTAATTTAATTTGTGGATTATAATCTACGTGGCATTAAAATATTAGATATATCAAATCTAATTTGTTATTTTTATCTAGGTGGCGACATAATTTTTTAAATCAAAAATAAAATACAAATCTTTCTTCTTATTGGTCGATAAGTATATTTGTTACGTGGCGCTCCGAATGCCCTCCAAAAATGCCTACTTTATTTATATATATTAGATTTTTCATTGTTTTACCATATCTTTTATTTCGATAGAATCACCAACCTCGTCCACAACCAACCTACTACATCAATGGATAAATTGAACCGTGAAATGTTAGCTAAACTGAAATTGATATAAATTAAATCTTTACATTTATATAAAATAAATCAATATATTTACCAATAAATGAAAATTGTTGCGATATAGAATCAAATCTATGCATTGGAATTTTTTCATCATCTCCAAAAATAACCAAAGTCATTCATATATTAAGTATACAACATCTAATCGTATGCAATTACATAAACAAATAATCGTTAACTATCCTAAATAAATACAATGTAACTAATAAATATAAATTTAAACATAAGATTTTAAAAATTATCTGGACATTGATGACCTAAAACTAACACAAAATTCGTTTGATGGGGTTTTTTTTTATATGAATTTTTATTTGTGTCGTATGATGTTTTAGATCTGCACGTAAAAAAACATTTAGTGAATAAAACATAAACATATAATCGTTGAGTATCCCAAATTAATACAATGTAAATAATAATTACAAATATAAATCTAAACATAAGATTTTAAAAATTACCCGGACATAGATGACCTAAAACTAACATAAAATTACTAACACAAAATTCGCTTGATGGGGTTTTGTATTGATACGAAATTTTATTTATGTCGTATAATGTGTTAGATCTGCATGTAAAAAAACATTTAGTGAATAAAACACAAACATATAATCGTCGAGTATCACAAATTAATACAATGTAAATAATAATTACAAATATAAGTTTAAACATAAGATTTTAAAAATTACCCGGACATTGATGACCTAAAACTAACACAAAATTACTAACACAAAATTCGCATGATGTGGTTTTGTATCGATACGAAATTTTATTTGTGTCGTATGATGTGTTAGATCTGCATGTAAAAAACATTTAGAAAATAAAATATAAACATATAATCATTGAGTATCCCAAATTTTTACAATGTAAATAATAATTAGAAATACTAATTTAAACATAGGATTTTAAAAATTAAGCTAAAAATTACCCGGCCATTGATGACAAAAAAATAACAAAAAAATAACAAAAAATTACTAACACAAAATTCGCTTGATGGGGTTTTTTATATTGGTACGAAATTTTGTTTGTGTCGTATGATGTGTCAATTTATAATGGTAGGTATCACAAATTTTAATTTAATTATAATTAACGAACAATTTGTATTTCTTATCAAAAATAATATCAAAATTTATCTTATAATGATAGGTATCAAACTTTATTATAAGCGTTTATCATTTAAATATTTGTTAGTATATTTTTTTTTGGATTTCTTATACTCGTAGTATTGAATTAATAAATTTATCTTTTTCTATATTTTTACTTTATTTTTTTCTATTAAAATAATTTAATTCGTGGATTATAATCTACGTGGCATTAAAATTTTAGATATATCAAATCTAATTCGTTTCTTTTATCTAGGTGGCAACATAATTTATTAATTCAATAATAAAATACAAATCTTTCTTCTTATTGGTCGAAATAAGTATATTTCTTATGTGGCGCTCCGAATGCTCTCCAAAAATGCCTACTTTATTATATACTAGATGGAAGCCTGTGCGATGCACGGTTTTTTCATCTACGATTTTTAATTATTTGATTTATTGTATTTAATAATTTCAGACAAAATTACAAAAGTTTAATATTTTTTTTACTATAATTTATAATGAATTTATTAAATATAAATAAATTGTAAATTTTGATATTTTTTCCGTTATATAATATCTTTAATGTAAAATGATAAATTTTTAATAATTTAAATCCTAAATCATTATTCATTGTTTTACTATATCTTTTATTTCGATAGAATCACCAACCTTGTCCACAACCAACCTACTACATCAATGGATAAATTGAACCGTGTTGCGATATATAATCAAATCTATGCATTGGAATTTTTTCATCATCTCCAAAAGTAACCAAAGTCATCCATATATTAAGTACGCAACATCTAATCGTATGTCATTACATAAACAAATAATCGTTAAGTATCCTAAATAAATACAATGAAACTAATATTTACAAATATAAATTTAAACATAAGATTTTAAAAATTACCCTAGCATTGATGACCTAAAACTAACACAAAAGTACTAACACAAAATTCGCTAGATGGGGTTTTGTATTAATACGAAATTTTATTTGTGTCGTATGATGTATTAGAATTGCATGTAAAAAAACATTTAGTAAATAAAAAATAAACATATAATCGTTGAGTATCCCAAATAAATACAATGTAAGTAATAATTAGAAATACTAATTTAAACATAGGATTTTAAAAATTAAGCTAAAAATTACCTGGCCATTGATGACCAAATATTAACACAAAATTACTAACACAAAATTCACTTGATGAGTTTTTTTATTGATACGAAATTTTGTTTGTGGCGTATGATGTGTCAATTTATAATGGTAGGTGTCACAAATTTTAATTTAATTATAATTAACGAACAATTTGTATTTCTTATCATAAATACTATCAAAATTTATCTTATGATAATAAGTATCAAACTTTATTATAAGCGTTTATCATTTAAATATTTTTTAGTATATTTTTTTTGGATTTCTTATACTCGTAGTATTGAATTAATAAATTTATCTTTTCCTATATTTTTACTTTATTTTTTTTTTCATTAAAATAATTTAATTCGTGGATTATAATCTACGTGGCATTAAAATTTTAGATATATCAAATCTAATTCGTTACTTTTATCTAGGTGGCGACATAATTTTTTAATTTAAAAATAAAATACAAATCTTTCTTCTTATTGGTCGAAATAAGTATATTTCTTACGTGGCTTTTCGAATGCTCTAAAAAAATGTCTACTTTATTTATATATATTAGATTATTATTATTATTATTATTATTATTTATTAAATATTAATTATTAATTTTGTTATGATAACTTTTAATCAATTTTGAAGAAAATTGTAGAACAAAGTTGACTTTAATTGAGCCATGAACGTAATCACTCTGTAATTAAAAATAAAAAGTTAAGTTAATTTTATGACTTAATTAAGCTACCTAAATCACAAAAAAATTATTGTTTTAATCATAAAATTAACTGATTAAAACTAAAAGGTTTAATAAATGTAAACGATTTATAAGGATATAATACCTCCTCATCCAATAGGATTATCAGGCGAGAAACTCGTACTTTGATATTCCAAAGATTTTTGCTCGAATATAATTCTCTGATTAAATTAGACTTGCACGTAAAAATAAAATTCAGTAAACAAAACATAAACATATAATCATTAAGTATCCCAAATAAACACAATTTAAACAATAATCACAAATATATATTTAAACTTGGGTTTTAAAAATTAGGCTAAGAATTACCCAACCATTGATGACCTAATAATACTGACACAAAATTTGGTTGGTTTTGTTTTGTCGAAAATATATCTTTGCTTATGTGGCGTGCCGAATGCTCTCCAAAATGCCTACTTTATTTATATATATTAGATTAGATTATTATTATTATTATTATTATTTATTAAATATTAATTATTACTTTTAAGCAGGGCAGAGCAGAATAGAAGTACAAGGCCTAAGTCTCTCTCTCTATAATTAGTATTGATTGCGGAATCTACATATCTCTTATTTTCACTGTAGAATTAGTTTTAATTACCGGAAATCTTAAGTTGTTCAAAAAACCATGGTCTTCCCTAAATGTATGAATTTGTTAAATTCAAAAAACCGTAAGTAATACAATTATAGTTTTGACCCAACTCACGCGTAATACAACTAGTTTACAACAGGTTGTATTGCTAGTTTGATCGTTGGTTAACTTGATATTATGCAATGTTTGTTGCTCTTCCATTATTGACAAATAGAGGTCCAATTTGATTAATGAAACATTTTATATGTATTGATTATAGCTCAATTAGAAGATAAAATGTCCATTCTATGCCTAGATGTCAAATTATTACTCTTACATGTTACATCTATCTTTAAATGCGATTTCCTCATGAAGTCATAAAATTTCTTCAACTTAAAAAATACGTAGTAAGTCTCTCGACTCCTTGTTTTGACACCATTAGGCCTTAAACCCTAAACCCTCCTCTTTCTCTTTCTTCACCTCTCCATCCCTCCTAAAAACCCTCCATTGTTGCAGAAAAAACTCTCACTCCAACAAAAATGTCATTCTCTCGCTCCATTCGACTCGTTCGTCAGCTCTCAACCACCACCACTACCAACCCCACCTCTTCAATTTCAATCTCCAAAGCAAAATTCAAGCTCAGAGCAGAACACGACCCAGATAAAGCCCTACAAATCTACTCCTCTGTTTCCGACCATTACACTTCCCCTGTTTCTTCTCGTTATGCCCAGGAACTCACTGTTCAACGTCTCGCCAAAGCTCGCCGCTTTTCCGACATTGAAGCTCTCATTGAATCCCACAAAAAAACCCCCCAAATTACCCAAGAACCGTTTTTGTGTTCTTTGATTCGATGTTATGGGAAAGCAGGTATGTTTGATCATGCCCTTAATACTTTTAATCAAATGGATGAACTGGGTACTCCTAGAACTACGCTTTCTTTTAATGCTTTGCTTGCTGCTTGTAATCATTCTAAGTTGTATGATAATGTACCCCAACTGTTCGATGAAATGCCTAAGAGACATGGGTTTGTTCCTAATGAGGTTTCTTATGGTATTTTGATTAGGAGTTTTTGTAGGAAGGGTGATCCTGAATTGGCTTTGAAAACTTTGGAGGAAATGGAGGAGAAGGGTGTTGAGGTTACTGCTGTTGCTTTTACTACTATTTATGATGCATTTTGTAAGAAAGGGATGAGTGACGAGGCCGAGCGCATTTGGAATGAGATGGTGAATAAGGGTTGTTTGGTTGATGCTGCGGCGTATAATGTAAGGATCGGTAATGCTTATGGCGGCAAGCCTGAGGATGTGATGCGATTGATTGAAGACATGGCTGCTGCGGGGTTGAAACCGGATGCTATTAGTTACAATTATTTATCGACTTGTTATTGTAGAAATGGGAGGATGGATGAGGCTATGAAACTTTATCTAGAGTTGGATGCTAGTGGGTTCAAACCGAAAGCTGCAACGTTCAGGACTTTGATTCATTATCTGTGTAAGAATGAAGAGTTTGGGAAAGGTTATGATGTGTTTAAGCGTAGTGTATTTCATAACAAGATCCCGGATTTTGCAACTTTGAAGGTTTTGGTGGAAGGGTTGGTGGCCAAGAACAACAAGAAGGACGCGAAGGGATTGATTAGGACTGTTAAGAAGAAGTTCCCGCCCAATGTTTTGAATGCTTGGAAGAAAATTGAGGTAGAACTTGGTTTGGTATCACAAGAATCTGCTGCTACTATGCCTGAAGTGAAAGAGGCTGCAAAATAGTGGTCCTCTGGAGACGTTAAGGGTTAGAATTAGTGTGGCTAGTGCAAATACAAAATTCATGTGACCTTAATTGAGGAAGGGTACATGAAATTGGATACAGCCCATACAGGGTATGATTGCGACAATGATCAAACAACTGTGCAGATTACTCATTTATGATTTCTGGAGAAGGTCTTTGATTTTGAAGTAGACCACAGTCCACAGCTATGATTTTTGACCCAAGTTATGTATTTACTTCCCCTTTCTCTTTGACAGAACAGGACTTGAATGGTTCCTTTTACCTCAATTTTGCATGATTTTGAAGCTTCAGATTTTCTGAAGTCCATTGTAAGGCATAATGATCAATATCATGTCATTTTTTAGCAGGCAATGCAATAATTTTTATAGTTATCTTTTCCCATCTTGCTCCATTTCTATTTTGAACATCATTTAAGCTTACTTTATTTGGCGATTCTCAGTTCCCAACGCTACTAAATGTTGTTTTACTACACTTGTGCTTTTATAAATGTATCTTGAAACACAGGATTATGGTTTGTTTCTCGTGAAGATTAACTGATTCTATCTTTGGTTATGGATTTACGACTACTAAGCTAACAATTCTCAGTCTTTTTAACTTATCTCAATCCTAATATTTGGCTTCTGTGGAGTTGCCTGTTGGTATCAGTAGAAATTGCTTTAGATAGTTTCTGGCTGAGTTGCCGGCCATAGCTGGATAGCTTCCTTTTGGTGGGTTCTATGTCAACTTTAATGCAATATACACCTAATTTAGACGACTCAAATGCTTGTAGTGATTTTCAAAGTTTACTGCTCTATCTGAAGAGATCATTAGGTGTGCGCCAGGAGATGGTTACCTTCCATTTTCACAAATTGATGTAGCTTAGACACAGGTTCTACTGATACATCAAAAACTATTCAAGCTAATGATTTTGCAAGTCTGGTTGAACTAGCGATGCTTTGATATTTTAAGGTATAATTTTCGGGCACCTGAGTCTATGTCCTGGCGTTGGTTTCTTTGAATCTCCTTGTATTAAGGTGCCTTTGGGTTGAGTTTTGCATCAGTTCTGTAGATTTTACAAAGCATGACTGTGATTTATTGCATCAGTCAGTATGCAGTAGGTGATTTCTATACAAGGATATCTAATTGAGATTTGGACTGTTATGAATGGAAAGCTAATTCGGAGGTAAACACATCTTCTGTCCATCCTTAGGAAACAATATACCAGGACATTTCAATATTCTTTCTCATCCTACGTATTTCCTAGAACTTCCTCAGAGCCTTAATTTTCCTGTGCTTGAAAATGAATTAGATCTGCGAGAGCAGTCCAGATCTCAGTCTTTAGTGTTTATGCAGGTGAATTTGATCCTCAGGTTCACTATTGCTTCCCATTCTAAGCTTGTTTTCTCTAATTATTTGCTACCCTAATCATTCATCGTTACATCCCTATATCATCAATTGAAGTGAACATTATCCTAAACACCTACATACCTATATTTTTTGCATGATTATGCTAAATCTCATTGAGTTGACTGTCAATTTGTCACCACCAAGCTGGTAAATGAGCAGGTATAGTATGGAAAGTTCGGTTCATGTTATCATTTCGAACGGGAAGGATGCATTCTGCTTCAGTTATCTTTCCCTGGTCTGTATGTTGTTGCTTCTCCTTTTGGATTCAAGATTTTCTCTCTGTCTCGTTCCTATAAACAAAATGCCATTCGAGTGTTCGTTCTGTTGTTTCACTAACAAAAAATGCCTTTGAGCAAATTCGGTGAGGGCGTACCCATTAAGTTTGACAAAAAACACAAAAATTGTTTATCTATGGGCAAAATCGCTACTTTTTTTTTTCTCCTCACTATTCAAGGCAAAACCGCTACTATCAGGAGATGTTTACCTTCCATTTTCACAAAAAAAAACACGTATTAACAATATTGCCACTAGGTAAACAATTAGATAATCAATTTTTGTTAATTACGAAGATGAAGATCACCTTGTATTTTCTCAAAAATGGTGAAAGAGAGAAACAAGCCCCGAAACAAGAAAGCAAACAAACACGACAAAAGAAAAAGAAAAAAAAAATGAAAAAAAATAGACAAAGTCAAAGACCCGCCAAGCTCAACATTAGGCACCCATCTAGATTGTAGAACGAACCACACTACTTAAACCGTCCAATAAAACAATAAGAAGATTCGACATGACCGCTTAAAAATTGTCACCTTTTGAGTAGGGATGTCAGTGGAGACGGGGCGGGGATGGGTATTGGTTTGGCGGGTGATGGGGCGGGGGTGGATTTTAGGTTGTACTCGCCCCATCCTCGCCTCGCCCCGCCCCACCCACCCCACCTCCACATCCATATATTTTTAAAAACAAAATTATATACTTTTTATACTATTTTTTTTAAAAAATTATGTAAAATAAAATAGTAAATATAATATTTTGTAATACACTTATATTATAAACAAAAAAATATGTAATATTAACAATAATTTTTTCTTTTTGCAATCTTTATTAATTAGGAAGGATTGTGTATTTGGGAGACGGGTCTTAGGTGGGGATCAGGTGGGGGTGGATATCCAAGTGAGAGGTGGGGCGGGGATGGTTTTGGAGTTGTACCCGCCGAGACGGGGATAGAGATGACGCCGCGGGGATGAGGATGGGGATGGGGATGAGGATGGGTATGAAAATTTTAGATGGGGATGGGGATGAGAAGGCCAACATCAGCCCCGCCCCATTGACATCCCTACTTTTGAGTTTAATAAACCCAAAGCTAGTTAAACAATCAACGACTTGACTAACTTATCTCAACGACTTATTATAATTTTTCATATGTACCACTGAAATTTATTACACTGAGATGAAACGACATGAACTGAATTTTTTTAGAGAAGTCTAAAAGAACAAGGCATTACACTTTTTTTTTTTTTTTTTTCGTTTTTATTATTACCAACAAAATTATGACTAATAATAATTGTGATATTAAACCGCCATATAGTGTTAAAAAGTATTTATATCATGGAAAATTAAAAATATCAATTGGGTTAAAAAGCTTAAACCCTCAATCAAAAAATCTCTTTTCATTCTCCCTCCCAAAGTTTCCCCGGTAACCGGTGAATCCTTCCGGAAGCGTCGAATTTGAGGAGAGAGAAACTGAAAAATGACGACGAGAATAGCTCCGGGAGTAGGAGCCAATCTTCTCGGTCAACATTCTGCTGAGAGAAATCAAGATGCCACCGCTTACGTCGGTAACCTTGATGCCCAGGTTCTTCTCTTTCTAGGGTTTTTTTTTTTTTTTTTTTTTATTATTTATTTATTTTTTATTTGATTATTTTTTATGAACAGATTTTTTCTTCCATTTTTACTACTTTGATAGTTTCTAACTAGGTCATATTTCAATTCGTTTATTAAATATTATAATTATTATAATCTTGTGAGTGAGCTTAATCGAGTAATTATTATGTAATTTCCCACTTAGTTTATTGTAATTGTGAACAATTTTAGAGTTACTGAGTTCATGGGGATGCTAAAAAGAGATTTACATTTGATACGGAGTAATTTTTTGTGTTTCTTGTTGTTATTGTGATTTTGATTTGGTCTAAAGTCCATAGTTTGTTAAAAACCTTATTGTTTCTGCTTGGGAGGGGTGGATGGGAGTTTAAATTTGTTTAATTTTTGAATTATTGCAACTTTGAAACATATGATAATGTGCTACAATGCTGGCGAAATTCGGAAATACGATTTGTGTAATTCATTTTAAGGGTTTGGGAAAATGTTGTATCATAAGCTCAATTACAATAAGGAGAAGAATGGCTACCGCAATCACTTGATAGTGATCCTCTATTTAACTTAGAATTTAGATTAAATTTAGGGTATATTAAGAGAGGAAGAATTCACCGGAAAATTGTAAGCTAGGTAGCTAAGCTTTGCGATTGTAAGTGATTGGGAAAAGTGAGTGAAAAGAGATCTGAGAAAGAACCCAGTTAACCCTCTAGTAAGGCTGTAAAAGGTATATGACTTAAAAATAGACGAATGGTTACAAGTAATATGCAACCGACTTCCCCTCCATATTAGGAATTTGCAGTGACCATTGACTCAATTGGCCCCTATTGTTCTGAACCGGTTTGCTCTGTAAGGATTTTTAGGGATTGCTTTATACCTTTTCCTTTGAGCTGCCTCTGCATTTGATACGAAGTTGGGGGTTTATCTTTTGTTGGATAGTGTGGATATGGGAATTAATAGCTTACTATAAGTGAACTACAAAGTATGGAGGAAATAACAATTTTTCCGAGAGTAACATTGTGTTGTATGGAGTACTTGATTGAATTATCCTGCAAAATACTATGCACTGATCATCCTTGGCTGTTATGCTGCAGGTATCTGAAGAATTGCTGTGGGAATTGTTTGTTCAAGCAGGCCCTGTTGGTAAATTTTGTACAAGATTTTTTTTTTTTGGTTTTCTGATGATTGAATCTTGTATGAATAACTATATTTTAATCTTCTCTGCAGTGAATGTTTACGTGCCAAAAGACAGAGTAACAAACCTCCATCAGGGCTATGGGTTCGTAGAATTCCGAAGCGAAGAAGATGCTGACTATGTATGCCCTTTTTTTTCCTTAGTAGCTTTTCTTATCACCTCTGATGTGTTTGACAATGATTTAAGTTGTATTTAGTTAATCATATTTGTGATCCTGCCCTAATTTCTTCCTCTATAATGCAGGCAATCAAAGTTCTTAATATGATCAAGCTTTATGGGAAACCTATACGTGTAAATAAGGTATCCAGATTCTGGACCTTTTTTTTCATTGCATGTCATAGTTAATGGGGGTTTTTTTTTTTTTTTTTTTTTATTTTTTATTTTTATCCGCGTAAGGATATCCATGATTCTATGTTAGAGTATTCAGATCTGCGAAGTGCAAATGTTTAACCCTATATGATTTTTCCACTATGACCTGTTACAGGCTTCTCAAGACAAAAAGAGCTTGGATGTTGGAGCAAATCTCTTTGTTGGGAATCTGGACCCTGTAAGACCTATTGTTACTTTGCTTTTCAATACTCTTAACTTGCTGTCTTTGCTGCTATAATCATATGTATTGTGACACAAATAATTTCTGTCACCTCCGTCTATCTTTATCATGTGACATTAAGATATTTTTTTCCCTCTTTTTGTAGGATGTGGATGAGAAACTTCTTTATGATACTTTCAGTGCGTTTGGAGTTATTGTTACAAATCCAAAGGTAATACTTCATTCTGCCTTTGTGGTTTACCCTGTCGTGCTGCTCATCAACTGTAGCTTTTGGCAACTTGCAATTTCATCTGTGAAAATTTTGTATTAGAATCTGTTCTTCATGGACTTCATGATTGATTCTAGCTTCCTAAGTTTTGTCCTGTATGTACCAATTTCTTTT